TGAGGTAAAAGGTTACCAAAAATAAAATATTATCGTTAAATGTTTTCTTTTATCTGTTTTCTTTTTTAAAATAATAAATATTTAGGTGGTGGTCTAGGACGGTTTCTCCTTCTATACGGTGAAAACATTTATCTTACGTTTCGCCAACTATATAGGTTGGTATCTTCAGGGTAACTTACATAGCTAGGGCATAAAGTGTTTCGTTAGGTTTTTCTAGGACTCAGTGTCAGTACAACTACAGACTCAGTCTGAGTACAACCACAGCAAAGTATCTTACGTCTCGCTACGTTTCTAGGTTATGTAATATGATGATAATGCAACCCCAGACTGAGTCTTAGTAAACCACAGTCTTAGTCTATGTACAACCATGGCAAAGGACTTTACGCCTTCGCTATGCTCCTTTTGGGGATGCCAATCACAGCGATCGGATTTTAGAGACTCAGTCTCAATACAACCCCAGCATCAGTACAACTACAGTATTAGTCTGAGTACGGCCACAGCGAAGAAATTTACGCCCTGTCTACGTTTTCTGGGGATGCCTACCAGAGTAGTTGGACTTCATGGACTCAGTCTCAATACAGCCCCAAACTCAGTCTCGGTACAACCACAGAATCAGTATCAGTACAACCACAGCAAACTATTTTACGTCTCGCTACGTTTCTTAGGGATGTAATGTGGTGATAATAATGCAACCGCAGACTGAGTCTTAGTACAACCACAGTCTCAGTCTCAATACAACCACAGCAAAGGACTTTACGACCTCGCTATGTTTCCTCTGGTGATGTCAACCACAATCGTCGGGTTTCAGAGACTCAGTCCCAATAGAACTCTTGACTCAGTCTCAGTACAACTAATCTCAATACAACTCTAGACTCAGTTTCAGTACAGTCACAGTCTCAGTCTTAGTACAACCACAGCGAAGGTCTTTTGACCCTGGGGATGTCAACTGCAACTGATGGATTTCAGAAACTCAATCTCAATTGAACCCTAGACTCCAGTCTCAGTTTCAGTACAACCACAGCGAAGGAGTTCATCTTCTCGGTATGTCCTCTCTGGGGCTCCGGGGATGTCAACCACAGCGGTCGGGTTTCAGATACTCAGTTCCAATAGAACTCCTGACTCAGTCTCAGTACAACTAATCTCAATACAACTCTAGACTTAGTTTCAGTACAGCCACAGTCTCAGTCTTAGTACAACCACAGCGAAGGTCTTTTGACCCTGGGGATGTCAACTGCAATTGATGGATTTCATAAACTCAATCTCAATTGAACCCTAGACTCCAGTCTCAGTTTCAGTACAACCACAGCGAAGGAGTTTACCTCCAATCTATGTCCTCTCTGGGGCTCCGGGAATGTCAACCACAGCAGTCGGGTTTCAGAGACTCAGTTCCAATAGAACTCCTGACTCAGTCTCAGTACAACTAATCTCAATACAACTCTAGACTCAGTCTCAGTACAGCCACAGTCTCAGTCTTAATACAACCACAGCGAATGTCTTTTGACCCTGGGGATGTCAACTGCAATTGATGGATTTCAGAGACTCAATCTCAATACAATCCTAGATTCAGTCTTAGTACAACCACAGTCTCAGTCGCAGTATAACCACAGCGAGGGACTTTACCTCCTCGTTATGTTCTCTCTGGGGCTCCGGGGATGTCAACCACAGCAGTCCGATTTCAGAGACTCAGTCTCAATAAAACCCCAAACTCAGTCTCAGTACAACCACAGTCTCAGTCTCAGTACAACCACAACAAAGAATTTTACAAAAATTGCTTTTATCTAGCGTGCTAAGTAGGTTCATGTAATAGATTAGATTGAGGAAGGTATATAATTGTAATGATTATCGGTAAAGTAGAATTGTACTTAATTAAAATATTTCGAAACTTTATTAAGTGTAGTTTACAGTGCAACATTTTGTAAAATCATTATTGTTCGAATTGTATAATAATAATAATAATAATTGATAACAATATAGTGAACAGACCGTAACAATAATTAACAACTTATATCGCAAAAGAATATAACTTATTTGAGCTTTATATACATACATACATACATACATATACATATCCATATAATGTTAAATTTAATCGAAACTATAAAATTACGTCTTTTATCGGCAACTGCACAAAATTGTCTATTTTTATTCTATCTATCTACACGTATTAGATAACCTAACTATAAATGAACTTAAAGGCAAGTTTCTCGTTCGGTTATTTCTTCGATATTTATCGCGGAGCAGTCGCGTCTGTTGTTGTGATAAACGATAACATTTCTGCGTTCGTCATTTGGTGGTGATAATCCAAGTGGGATAAAATTCTCTTCGACAATTTCGATGCGATGAGATTCTGCTTCTAAAACTGTTTCTTGTTGGTTCGAAAGGTTTTGCATTGGTGATAAAGGAAAGCGATTTTGATTGCGGTTATTATTATTTGAACAGTCGGAGGTGCTACACGTATTAAGGGCTTCAGTGCTGGCGATTTCGAACGGTTTTTGACTAGACTTGCCGCGAATAAAATGACGATTTAATACTGTATTCATCGAACTACTTCGGTCTAATCTACTTCCTAATATTTCTAGATCGTTCATACTTTTAGAAAATCGATTGTTTCTTGATATGTTCGTTTGAGTTTGCTGATGAATGTTGTGCAAGCTTTTCTTTAGAACTTCAACGCTGGTCCAAAGAAGACGGTTTCTGATAACGGACGCGTTCTCGTTCGCGCTGCGCGGCGGATTTTTATCGTTGGTTTTCAGCATCATGCTGATCTCGCTGTAGGACGGAGGAAGATCACAGTTTTTGGTGCCGAAAATGTCCTCGTATGACGGCGGGAAACAATTGATGGATGTGAAGGAGCGCATCTTGAACGCGCTCTCGGAATCTAGGACGCTAGCGGAGCTTCCTTCGAAGCGGTGCCTGTTTCGGATCATGTTGGCGCTCAATTCCATGAAATCGATGCCCGAGTAGTCGGCCTGGAGTTGGGTGAAAATTCGACGATCCACCACCAGCATACGACCGAAAGGTAAAAGGATTATTGTAGGCGTTGCTGGCGAGGTTGTGTACCCTGAAAAATTCAACAGGAATCAAATAATCATTCACGATTGATTACTCCCGATCTCATCCACGTGGATTTCAGATATATCTGTCAATATTTTTTGGGAGGACGAAGTAATACTTTATTATTTTTCGAAACGTCTTGCAATTTTATCGATCATAGTATGCATGCTACATCAATATTCACCATAATGAGAAAAGAGTTTGATGTAGCATCAAAAGCTTAAAGAATAATAAGGCACCAGGTGTAGATGGAACACAGGGGGAAATTCTAAAACATGCAGGACAAGAGGTTAGAGATCGTATGTTTAAGCTAGTTAGTCACATTTACGAGACAGGGAAAGTCCCAGTGGATTACAAAAAGGGAGGCGCGGGTAAGTGCGAGACATATAGAACAATTAGCTTAACTTGCCATGCGTCAAAATCAAAAAAGGACGGAAGAACTATTAGGGGAAGATCAATTTGAGTTAAGAAGAAATAGAGGAACACGGGAGGTCATTCTAGCTTTACGGGTAACAATAGAGAAAACGATAGAAAAAAGAAAGNTCTACTTCCTAATATTTCTAGATCGTTCATACTTTTAGAAAATCGATTGTTTCTTGATATGTTCGTTTGAGTTTGCTGATGAATGTTGTGCAAGCTTTTCTTTAGAACTTCAACGCTGGTCCAAAGAAGACGGTTTCTGATAACGGACGCGTTCTCGTTCGCGCTGCGCGGCGGATTTTTATCGTTGGTTTTCAGCATCATGCTGATCTCGCTGTAGGACGGAGGAAGATCACAGTTTTTGGTGCCGAAAATGTCCTCGTATGACGGCGGGAAACAATTGATGGATGTGAAGGAGCGCATCTTGTACGCGCTCTCGGAATCTAGGACGCTAGCGGAGCTTCCTTCGAAGCGGTGCCTGTTTCGGATCATGTTGGCGCTCAATTCCATGAAATCGATGCCCGAGTAGTCGGCCTGGAGTTGGGTGAAAATTCGACGATCCACCACCAGCATACGACCGAAAGGTAAAAGGATTATTGTAGGCGTTGCTGGCGAGGTTGTGTACCCTGAAAAATTCAACAGGAATCAAATAATCATTCACGATTGATTACTCCCGATCTCATCCACGTGGATTTCAGATATATCTGTCAATTTTTTTTGGGAGGACGAAAAGGTTTGTTAGTAATACTTTATTATTTTTCGAAACGTTTTGCAATTTTATCGATCATAGTATGCATACTACATCAATATTCACCATAATGAGAGAAGAGTTTGATGTAGCATTAAAAAGCTTAAAGAATAATGAGGCGCCAGGTGTAGATGGAACACAGGGGGAAATTCTAAAACATGCAGGACAAGAGGTTAGAGATCGTATGTTTAAGCTAGTTAGTCACATTTATGAGACGGTGAAAGTCCCGGAGGATTATAAACGGAAGGTGGTAGTAACCATACCTTAAAAAAAATAGGTGCGAGACATTTAGAGCAATTAGCTTAACTTCCCAAGCGTCAAGAATCTTAACTAGAATTGTACAGAGAAGGATGGAAAAAAGGGCGGAAGAACTAATAGGGAAAGATCAATTTGGGTTTAGAAGAATTAGAGAAACGCGAAAGACCATTCTAGCTTTACGGGTAACAATTGAGAAAACGATAGAAAAAAGAAAGACTGTAGATAGGATTTGTAGATTTAGAAAAAGTTTTCAACAATGTTAAATGGGACAAGATGTTAAATATACTTAAAAATGTAGTTACAAAGATAGAAGAGTGATACTTAGTTTATATAAAGAGCAACCGGCAGTTATATAGCTGGGGCTGCAACGTAGAAAAGTAAATATTAAGAAATATGTCAGACAGGGATGTATACATTGAAGACGCGATCAACATTATTAAAGACGGTACAATTGTAGGGATAGATATACAGGGGCAAAAGATTAGTATGCTTAGATTTGCAGATGATATAGCATTATTAGCCTCTAGCAAGGAATTAGAGATAGCTTTAAATAAAATGGATGCTGTATTGACAGTAGGAAAATAAATAAAAGTAAAACAAAAATATTGGTATGCAAGCGAAGAAAAAATTGGGAAAGAGCGAAAATAAAGATAGGAAACGAAAAATTAGAAGAAGTGACCGATTTTAGGTATCTAGGAGATCAGATAAGTCATGACGGAAGGAGTATTAGGGAAATAAAGCAAAGGATAGCGAAGGGTCGAGTCGCANTTTAGCTGGTTGATATTATGGTTTCTTTGAGGTTTGAGAAGTACAACTTCGGACTGAACACATTGCTGGACTTTCAAATATTGGGCTTTGTAAGAACCAATCGATAGATCGTGGTGTTACTAAATCATTCAATAAGTATTTATTTATTGCTTGACAATAATGTCTACGTTCCATTAGAGTTGGGTTAGATGGTATTAACTAATCAGAATTTTGGCATTCATTTCTTCAGGAATATTCTGATGACCACTAAGTCACTCTAATTTGCATTTAGGAATTTCACACTTTTCAAATACAAATTAATGTTTAGAAAAAGGTATTTAAAATAAAAAAACAAAAGGAGGTGTTAATTAACTCAAAGAATCAAAGGAATGTTGGATTTGATTCCTTGCGTTCGTAAAATGCATGGGTGAAAATGGTAAGTAACTATTTGAAAAAAAAACATATTAATGGCTATACGTAATAACGTAACCAGTCCTGAACCAATCCTGCATTAAATTTACATAGGACAGGGGGCTTTCATAACGGGACTTCCCCGTCTGTCAGTCAATCAATCAATAGAGAAGCGTATTCGACGGTAAGAAAAGAAATACAAATAAAACAAAAATTTTGACATATAAGGATGGTAAAAGTAGTAAAGGAGCTAATATAAAAATAGGAGACGAAAAATTAGAAGAATTAAGTTGCTGATTTTCGATAGATGTCTAAGAAGTCTGATAACTTGGGAAGATCCCACTTGTGCAATCGATTTAAAAAAATTGTTTCGTCGCGAATAAGATAAAAAAAGCGTTTTCGGATTCACCCTGATTTAAAAAATTTACAAGAAGTGGCTTTCTCCAATAGCATAGGCTTTGGAAGACCCCCAACAAAGCCATCAAAAGTATTAGGTTTCGATATTTCCGGCTCTGAATAACGTACACATTTTGCCCATAGCAAAAAAAATAAAAAATATGGGTGTCCAATCCACTGGCTTTTAACTTTCATGGTTTAGATGCTATTTGGTCTGATTTAAACCGTATTTTTTTTTCAAAACCAGTTGAATATCTCAAAAACTGCTAGAGATAGGGGCAGTGAACTGTTAACAAAGAAGTCGACCTAAAATTTAATAAAGAAACGAAAAATGTAAATATATACAGGGTGTCTAATTATAAATAACGAAGTTAGGAAGAAATGGGGAACACTCTGTATAACTGAACATATTTTCTGTATATGATTCCAGACCACTTTTATAAAACATTTTTTTTTATTAAAAGTATAATAACAGAGTTATGGACGAAACCGCTTTATGCGGAACACCCTGTATATTTCAACGATTTTTAACGATTTGTTTCTATATATAATTACACAATTTGTTTTTAATTAACATTATCATTAAAAACAATATGAAGCAGATTTGCATGGACATCCTTGGCAAAATGTACGTAATTCCTTTACTGCAATAAATCATTTCGAAATGTTTAGTTGCATTAATTAGACCATTTGCAACTGTCACACTATTTGCATTCTTTCCTGGCAATAAATTATGAGATAAATTGCGTTGATAACTGGTCTACTTGAAAATTAAACAGTATGCAATGCTAGCAAAATGTTGGCATCATCGTCTGCAGTGACTTAGGAGATACTCGGAAAGTGTAAATTTGGAGTCACGCTGTCTGCTGGTGTGTTATGTGATCACTATGATGAGATCGTGATTTAAATCAGTGGCGGCTGGTACATCAGTTTACGTGGTGGTGGTGGGGGGGACTGAGGTACCGTGTTCGACGTAATTTTTTAGAATAGAGAAAAGCCAGTAGCGAATCAAGAAGAGAATTCAAATGATAGGAATCTAGTAGAAACTCATTGACAGAGTCAGATTCAGGTCATCTAGAAGTCAAAACTTTAGCTAAATATTCGGAAGGAGATCGGTGCCTTTGCCCATGCTTTTGTAAGGTTTTCTTCGATCGTTTAGAGGTTTAGATAAATGCCAAGGCAGTAGTATTGCATAAATAACCTTTCATTTCCCTTATGACTTCATTTCGTCTCTCCAACCACCATCCACTCCACTTATTCCCATGGTTCCCAAACGGTAGTTCGGAAGAGGTTCTTTCGGTCTACACTGGAGTAGTCGAAGAACTACCGACGAGAAAGAAAGACGAAAACTTTTTTTTACAGTTAACATTCGTATTTCTCGAAAACTAGAACTACTATGACATCCTTAACTACACGCGAATAGTAATCAAATCTGGGTATTCGTCGTCTTCAGATCCTGCTATAGCCAACTTAACTGGTACCTCCTCTCTTGTGTTAGACTCAGATTAGCTAAACCCTATGGTTAATAGTTCAGTCGTTTTAGTTTCTATTGATTTTGTTTCATCTGTTCATGTATTTCCTCGTCCACTTCTGAATCTTCAATCTTCAGGTGTTTCAACTGTTTTAATAAGGGTAGAAATTCGAAAAAGGTTGTTAAAGGTGTATGTTTGGAGCACGACGCTGTACGGGTGCGAAACATGGACAGTGGGCACAGCGGAAAAGGAAAGGTTAGAAACGTTCGAAATGTGTGGTGCTACAGGCGAATGATGAGGAAATCGTGGGTTAAAGGTTAGAAATGAAGAGGTATTAGAAAGAGTGGGAGAACAAAGGACTCTACGGAATTCAATAAGAAATAGGCGAGATAGGTTGGTAGGGCACTTTCTTAGTCATGAAGGTCCAGTCAGATTAGAGGCAGAAACAGGAGTTAAGAGGAGTAGAGTTAAACCTAGATTAGATTACTGTTCGCAAATAGTTAAGGATGTGGGTTGTTCTAGTATTAGGGAAATGCGAAGATTAGCTCAGGATAGGAAAGAGTGGAGGTGCATGTCCAACCAGTCTTAGGACTGACGACCTTATGATGATAATGCGGGAAATCCGGTATTACCAAAAGAAGTTCTCGATTTTATTCTTGGTATTGCAATCTTTTTAAAACCACTAGTTCATTTTGAGCCTGTTGGAGGTGTTGATGTTAGCATTTACTAATAAAGTAAGTTCGGGTTTTAATGATAAAAGATTATCCTCTGATATCCCACAGATTAGAAGAGCAACTTCACGTCTGGGTAATAAGCGTTGTCAGGTAGGGAGTTCGGGATCTATTAAAAATAAAGTAGCATTTGGTTTTAGTGATAAAAAAACACATTTTAAGGTTCAGGCGTATTTAGGGTATTTTGGTCAGGTCTCAGTTACGTATCTGTAGATTGAGAAATGTTGGTAATGTTTTGAATGCAGTAAGTTCAGGTTTATGTAATTGAAGTTGTTTATATGAATATGGTGGTTTACATATGAAGAAAGTGGGCATTGTAATTGTTGTACATTATCTTGTTATTATATTTATATTTTAAATATTAGTCTTACCGATTTTATTATCTCTTTCTGAGAGCTTCGAGCTCTCATTAAAACAGTTGAATCCAGGAACCATTGGCTGAGTTTTCCCGAGATAATTTTTGTGTCTTTATGGTTCCTTGTTTGATAAAAAGTTTGTTCTGACGTAGGATTTTAGTATTGACAAAGTTAGATGTATGACCTATTTCAATTATACGTTTGACTAGGGTAGTTTTATGTGAAGTAGCCTGGATATTATATTTTTTATAGTCGTTTTTATGCTCTTTTATCCTGATATGGAGCAGCTTTTTGGTTAGGCCTATACTTCTTCACCAAATGTGAACCGATTGTAATAATGGGCTATATCTCGAGAATGATCCAATTTAAATTTGAAGAAAATATTCCACCTCATAAGTGTGAAAAAACAGGGAATGAATCTCGTTTTTAATCAATTTAAGTTTGTATTTATGAATGTAACAATATCTTTTACGTTGATTGTTGCGTTTTGATTAGATTACAAATAATTACGTAATTATTCAAACATATGTCAAGTTTGAGTGGGTCTAGTCAACGAAATAATTTACAAACTTTGTAACAGTTATAAAATGAGATAAAATATCACCCGAATGCGATAATTATTTTGCTTTTATAAAAAATAAGCAGAGTTAAAATAAAAGACACAAAACGAAAACATCGTCAGGTTTTTTCTGGTTGTAACTTTAACTACTAGCTAATAAAAACAAATCAGATCAAAGCCTGGGAGAAGATAAAACGTTTTTTTTATTGTCTTTTGTAGCAGAGGAGTGTCGATTACCGCCTTTAATCTTTAAAGACGAATTTTGCTTTAAAAAAAATGCAACTATTAATACTTAAACGTTACGCATTTTATTGGTACAACAATAAAATTATTTGGAAAAATAGAACCGAATCTGTGCATAGTACTAATTAATTATACAACAGAATCAATAAAAATATTACAATTAGCTATTAAAACAATTAATTAATTAAATCATATTTAAATTTTTGAATGTGTTCATGAAAATGCAATCAGGTGGCGTTTGAGTTGATGAATTAACCGGAAAGAAGGATTGGTTCAGCGGAAAAGCGTTGTGTCGGTATTGCTAATTGTAGTGCGTGATGGTGCTTGTTGTTCACGTTTTAATTTTTATTTAGTGTTATATTAATGACCTTTTCGATTGTGTCAGTGTTGGAATGAAGTTGCTGGGCAAAATACGATGTCAACAAGCTTAAGGTAAGGTATTTCTGTATCATTTTATATTATATGTATATCCAATTTCTGTAAACATACGACAACAAATTGAGGTTAAGTTTGTATCGATATTTTTCGCCGGCAAAAATATGATGTCTACATGTACCCATAATAAACATTGCTCTGATGTTTAAAGGTATTTTTATTGTTGGTTTCGAAAATTTCACTTGTCAAAGAATCCTGGGCATATTTTCAATTGCCAAGGAAAAGCATTAGAATAAGTGATGCTATGAGTAGGTACATGTGGGTAATTTGAGGGTTATTAGACGGATAATAATTTCCATAAATATACAATTGGAATATTTGCTGTTGTAATACCTTGGTCCATGTTGGGTTCGTCCATAGGACAAAAGCAGCAAATCTTTCGTTTGCAGAAAGAGCGTACTGCTGGTGCTCCCCAGAAGCAGAATAATAATATAATCATGAGTACAACAATCATAACTATGAGGGTGGGTAGACCCTGATGAACATTGGGCACGTAAAAGCTCTGGGGGTTACTGCCCAAAGGATAACTCATAGGTTGTTGACTCCCTGGCGAAGGGCTCATTTCTGAAAAAGAGATAGGATTATTTTGTTAAGGTTTTCGGTTTTCCTGAAATAAATGAATGTTAGGGTTGTATTTTAATAAGTGTTTGAAGAATTTTTGTTATAAAATTGCTTCTCGAGACGCGGACTAATTTAAATATTTTGAAGTATTATAGTCAGAAAAAGAGAAGTAAATTCCTTTACAAAAAATTATCAAAAATAATAAAGATGGTACTTGTGTTTAAGTCTATATAAGTCAAACGGGCAGGTACTTTTTTGTACAGGATTAAAGAACATAAAGTTATGAAAATGAAAACACAAACATTTTGATTTTAAAATTGTACATTTTGAAAATAAAAGTATAAAACTAATGCATCTAAGATGTAAATAATACTTTTTATTAAATATCCGGTATACTCCCTTGCATTTCTGAACTCATCTCATTCCCTATTTTTAGTACTTAACTGACTTATTATTATCTCTATAAACTTCGAAGAATTTGTGGGTCAATATAATTTATATTGAGGTCAGAACAATAAAATACAATAGTAGGTCCCGAAGGACCGTGCAGAATACGGAAAAAGGTACAAAACCGTCTATTTAAAGATGTATTTTCCCACTGACGTATAGGGGATGTTGCTTTAGAGGAGGGGTGGCCTATCCTTGACCAACTTGTAACATGACAGGCACACGTTGAAATTCAAAAACTCACCCATAAGCATGATTATACATTATATGTGTCTGGACTGATTTATCGTTAATAATCGCAAAACACACAAATGAAACTTGTTCCTACGTGTGCTACATTAATTTATTATTGCTATTAACATTTCTAACTTGAAAATTGTAAACCTTCGCTTAAGGTCTTGGTTAGATAAAAAATACAAATAAAAACACTGTAGAACTATATTTTATTTGTCAACGTTTCCCGAAAAAAACAGTTAATTGTTAAAACGAACTACTTCACATCATCATAAGGTCATCAGTCCTAAGACTGGTTGGACACGCACCTCCACTCTTTCCTATCCTGAGCTAATCTTCGCATTTCCCTCAAACTAAAACAACCCACATCTTTAACTATTTGCGAACAGTAATCTAATCTAGGTTTAACTCTACTCCTCTTAACTCCTGTTTCTGCCTCTAATATGTCTCTGACTAGACCTTCATGCCTGAGAAAGTGTCCTACCAACATACCTCGCCTATTTTTTATTGACCTCCATAGAGCCCTCTGTTCTCTTATTCTTTCTAATACCTAATTTATTCTATCTTATGACAGTATTACAAAAATAGGAGTCTCTGGTAGCAAGCAGCAGCAAATAAGTAACCACCTTTTTCAATGTTAAGTTTAGCTACTGAGGAGGCTCCCAGACCCTCAAAAAAGGGTGTAAGATACTTGGGAACATGTTTGAGATTCTACTCATATTCTTACGTATTTCAAATTGAGTGGCTTCTTTAAAAAATTGAAACTACACTATGCACTCAACTTAATTCATGCATCAACGTTTTAGCGTGATAAATGGACCAGAAAACATGTCATTAATAACGAGTTATAGATTATTGTACACACTATTGTTTACAGTCCACTTTGAGTTTTGTTTACCTTTCTTTTATTAGTATTAATACGATTGACTGACCTGCCGAAAGCTTAACAAGATTGCGATTTGAACGCGATCAATTAAAGCAATTTTGAGCACTTTTTACGAATTCCGATTCAGACACACACATGTTTAGGTATCTACATTAGAACACTAATCAATTGATTGACGCTGCCTGACTACATGTTTACATTTCGTCTTTTTGGAAATGGGTTTGAGAAAAGGAGTCAAATATATATATATGTATAAGTTTACCATTTGAGATGGGCTGAGACATTTTATAACACCGACAACCGATTTCTAGCGAGTACTGGGATAGGACGGATTAGTTGTCAATGTTTAATACAGTACCGAGAGCCCCTTTTTAATGTGTTTACGTCATGTTTTGTCGTGTGATGTCCCGAATGTATTATGTAATAAGGACAAATGGATTTTGCCTCAGGTATTGTTTATTTTGACGCCAGAAGAAATAAAAATCGTTGAAAGCGAAAGTAAACATACATCTAAAGGTTTTTATGTGCGAATTGAGACATCAAAAATAATGTGTTTCTTTGGAAATTGTTGACAAATAACTTTATATGTTGTGCTATTTCGGCGTGCAAATTTCCGAGAAAAGAAAAACATTATCCAAGTCTTTACTTGTTTTTGTATGGTCCTTCGAGCCGGATTATTAGATACTTTTCAGAATTCGATGCCACTTTCGACTAATAATAATACAAAGCTTGGTGTGTTTAGTAACATCTTACGATAACTAAGATTTAATTTAACAAGTTTAATTGTAGAAATAAGGCGCCAAAAGATCAAAAACTTTCACGATGTTGTCAAAATGAATTATAATAAATGTCGTATCTTTCAGGACCTAAAAGCTTTGCTACTGCAGTATAATTTAAAGCCTTGTGTACAGATATAAGTAAGAAATGTAACATAAATAATCTTATTAAAGCATTTTCTTTCCAACGGAGATAAAGGTTCGCGATTGTATGTAGCACCAGTTCCAATTTATTGTGTCGCAAGCTGAGGTTTCCCGAGTCCTTGTGCCAAACAAGATATCAAAGTAATTGAATTTCTTTCCGCAAGGTCCACACGGGCCAAGTTAAATACAAAGATAATACACGTCCAATACGTAAGCTATGTTTCTTTGTAAACCATTGTGTAGGTTGATTATTGGACATTTTACATGATCGTTTGTCTATTTGTTTTTATCTTTAAACCAAGAATTGGTTCAAACTCCAGAAAATTATAACATATTCATACCTTAAAAAATTGTTTATGGTTGGAAAGGTTTTAAATCCCCTATAGGAATTATTGATTGATGTTAATTCCGCGGTATTTCACAAAGATATTTTACATTTCATGAAATTCAATAAATATAAAACGTAGGTATATTGTTAATAACTTATTTTTTTTATATATATCCGTTTAATATTGTTCGGATGGGGTTAGCCTTGTAAGGGCTCGTATCAGGAAATATTCTGCTACTAATTATTATTATAAATATGAAACACTGAAAATTTTTAGAAGTGAATAGTTTTTAATATGAAATTGGTCATTACAAATGGGAGTGGCTCTGGTAGCCACAACGGTCTAAGATTTGGATCCCGCGGAACTAAAACATTCCTGTCATGATGAACTTTTTCGATGTTTTCGTTTTTCCTAAATCATGTCGTGATGAACTTTTTCGTTTTTCCTAACATAGTAACATTTTAGCAATATAATTCTATTACATATAACAGGTAGGGGAGACCGGGGATAGTTGACCATAGGGGTAGGTAGACTAACCATAACCAAGCATTACATTTCGCGTCCCGCTCAGTTGTCTGAAGCGTCACATCGCGGTCGTGCGTTGTTTTCGAACACTGACATGTTTTTCATATTTCAATTACATAAGTAATATTTTGATCTGATGCCTACTCGTTTTATGTAAATCATTTTTCTATTAGTCCTAGCATTTAATGAGGGCACATTTATCATATTTTATATCTTATTTTTCAAGTCAACGGCAGTGTTTAGGCTAGCCATGCGATCAAAATTAAAAATGGCGTTTGGGGTTGGTAGACCAATTTTTTTCGGGGCTGGTTGAATATTTATTCAGCCAACCCCAATGAAATATGTAATTGAAAACAACACATAAATTAACTTTTTATTGGACTTTTAAATCGTTACGTGGCCAAATTAAAAGAAAAATTAGAACAGAATCCGAAATTGACGAGAGCAGAATTAACCCTGGACACAGTGGAATATATAAAAAATTGACAAATTTTTACTAATCTAGAAGAGGAAACTTTAGCCAGTTTATTTTTTAACAAAAGGTTCAATTATATTAAAAAAATGTTTAATTATTTGCTCCTTCTCATGATTTGACTCTTACTGGTACATGAGTCAACTTACCCCGGGCATATGGTCTACCTACCCCGGGCCAGGGGTAGATTGACTAAGATTTAATATTTTGTAAAATGCATTAAATCATCACTATTATACTAAACTAAGAACTAAATATTACATATTTTTATTAGGTTAATAGATTTTCTATCAATTAACATGCTTTTCTTGTCTATAT